GTGTGTGTGTGTGTGTGTCTGTTTGTGCGCCTGTACCTGCTTTTCGTCTCGAGACCTACAAAAGCCACAAGACTGCAACTTTGGTAACGTGCCCTACATGCACGTACGTACAGACGCTTACGCCCATGTTCTGCTCTCGTGCGGGATGTGAAAGTTTTGGCGGGGAAGTTGCCAACTCAAGGGCCAGAAAAGCTAGGAAGATGAAATTTTAAGAGAAATTTTCCTGTTCACGTCGAAATTAGTGATTTCAAATTCAGCTCCCAGGTGTGCATGGTTTTCATGCGCGGGCCCGTGAAAATCTTTGATGGGTATATTGCTAACTCGGGAACCAGGAAAGTTAGAAATCAGAAATTTTAAGGGGATGCTTTTTGACAGTCGCAGCGCCCAATTTCAATTCTTCCAACTAGATGCATCTACCGGGAAAAAAAGTGCCGTCAACTACAAAAACCTGCGGGGAATTGCGCAAAAAACGCACCTCCACACTGGCAGACAATGCGCTGGCCATTATTTGATTTTTTAAATACTAAGATTCTCACGCTGGTCAAAACGTCAAAAAAGGAAATGGAATTTTAACGGAAATCCAATTTCTTGTCCTGGATAAGCAGCCTAAGGCAAGAAATTGGATCCAGATGGGGAAAAGAGGTAGAAGGGCGGGAGTGAGGGGAGGGGAGGGGGAAGAGAAAGGAGGAGTAATTACTCACACATTATCAACTGCGCCACCAAATCAAAATGTCTTAATTTTCCACAAAAGGCGTAAAATGAAACATTCATAAAGTGAAGGCAAACCAAAAACTAACAGCCTGCGTAAAAACGCTAGGCCGGTAAATGCAACGCAGAATATGGGAAGTTTGATTATAGGCGCCCATTTAGTAATTTTTTTATGGCTGAAGTATCACTGCAATTACGTCATGAAGCGACTGTGGGGGAGGGGGATTAAACATTTCAGTAACTAACCTTTGCAAAATGAAAGCTTTTACTCCAGAAGCCATGAGCCTGCAGATATCGACAAGCATCATTACCGTGACCAATTAAAAACAAGAGCTGCACACCATCTAAAACGAATGCAGTCTATCAAAATCTAAATCTCTTTTCATCTCGAGTCCTACAAAAAGGCAGAAGCAAAAATCTACGCTGGATGACTTCACTGTTACCAAAGTACAAGTGCACAGTAGCATGGCCGGCAATGATTCTTCATCTGCAGAATGCACAGGGAACAGTCTGATTGGAAAATTGAATCACAAGCACCCACTGCGTTACCTGAGTCGCAGAGGACTGACCTATCCAGTTATCACTTGCAGCTACGCAGTGCAGCCAGGATGAGCATTTGAAAGGAATGTCACAACCAATATACCATAATTTCACCTAAGAGGTGGAAAATACCACTGAAATTTGAAACAAGAATAAAGAAGACTTGGAAGCCGCGTAGAAAAAGAAGTTTAAACGAGAGGAAAAATCCGGAAGCTAGCAACAGTTCGCATCCAAGAAAAGCTGAAACAAAAATGGTGCAGGGAAGCACAGTAGCAAAACAATACCTTCGAAAACAACATCGTAAGAGTTGGAAGGGTTGTTTTTGTTTTTTTCCCATTCGTTCAACAGACAACGACCTGCGCTCCCCCGCGTACAGAAGTTTCAGAAATTTCGAAAGTTTACCTGTCATGCAGTCATTTGCAATAAGACTGGTGGCAACAAGTTTGATGATACTCTGCGCACCCTCTGAAGCAACATCGGATGCAAGCAGACACGCCCGAAGCGCATTCGTGCGACATTCAGCACGCGAACCGAGTAGTAACTGCAGCGCCCATTCACGCTAAATAATTACTAGACTTGTTCAAATAAACAGTAAGAATTTCCGCACTAACCACGCGAGACTGTAGTGCACCCATACATCGATAGCCAGACTCTTCTTTCTTAACATACATATTTTTCGAATTTTAATGAAAACTGCTTGGCACAGCAGTGCTCAACGTGTGAAAGCATTCAAGTAATACGGGCACAGTATCGCCGGACAGTGGGAAAACATAGATGCATAAAAAGCTGAAAACTGAAAATGTTGAAAAAACTCTTAGCAGTGTTTTTTAAACGTTATGATGCAATTTCGGGTAGTTTTTCACTATTCGAAAATTCGCTTATCAAAACTAGTGCAACTAGCAACAAGCTCTGACATCAGTACTTCTATCAAAGTTTCACTAACTGAAGATAATTTCTGGACTGCTTGAAAGACCAGCTGAACACGATCTCAATCCATGTATGCTAATACTAAGCGGAAGTGATTAAAACAATTCGAAGCAGTTTTTTAGCTGATATTTTTTAAAGTATTTTTTTTACAGTAACGAAATCTAGTAGCACGAGAGGACTGGACGTAAAGCAAAGGAATTACACTGTGTTACAGCGGTGATACTGAAGAAAGGCTTAACCTTATGCAGAACAACGGCCTGGTGAACCAAAATATCAACTTGTACAGAATTCAGCTCGGGCAAACACATCAAGCAAGCAAGCATTTGTTCCACTCGTCGCTAAAATCAATGACAGCATGATATTGCTTTCGATAAAAATTAAAGCTGGAGAAACGAACGCAAGAAAGCGTGACAAGCATCAAACACCGACTGCAAAACTGTTGCAAGAGGAGCGCATGAGAACAAATTGCAAATGATTTGCCAGAACAGCTGAACGAATCGCAATCTTCAAAAAAATTTTTTCCGCTATGCCCACGCGCGTAGCAAAATTAACCTAAAGCGCATAAGAAACTTGCCGCACAGTCCTAATAGCGGCGCCAGCCAGCAAGTTGACGCACTAAAAGCAATAACAGCTAAAATTCCCAGCGTGGCAAACACATAGGAAAAATGTAAAGAAGGAAGCGAAATATATATAAAACGGAGCACTGCTAGACCAATCCAATGCAAATTCGTCACAGAGACGTCAAAATCCATTAGAAATTGAACCAGGCTGGAACGCACCAGGTTCTCCAGTGCGATCATGCATTCTTACACTAAACTCGCAGATCGCTATTTGCAAGAACGATCCCTACGTTGTAGCCTAACACTTGGGTCATATTGGCCGTGCTTTGATCCTTTCCGGCATGCAGGAGGAAGGCCGTCAGTTGGGATGAAGGTAGCGCATTATAGAGCCGCACGGACATCCAGGTGCATGATTACCGGTTTTCTGCATGAAGTCCGGTCGTT